GCACAGTCTACAGCAACAGCCTATAGTCCACAGCCACAGTCCACAGCAACAGTCCACAGCAAAACTCTATTCTGTAATAGCCTACAAGCCTACAGCAACAGCCTACAACAACAGCCTGAATTAAACACTACCCACCTACAAAAGTGCCGGCTATCCAGCCCCAGTGACTCAAACAATAATGCTTGCCAATTTGTCATTACACCTTCAGAATCAGTAGTCGTTGCATCATTGAAACCAGTCGTCATTACACCTCCAGATAATTGAGCTGGGAGCTTCTGTCATCAGCCACTACAGTATCAGATGGTCTGCTAATTACAATGGTGTAAGACAGATGTCATATACTGAGATTGTACAGATTACATTGATGTCTGGTGATGTACTGCCTTGACTCTTCAGGACTGGACAACACAGCAAGCAGCTGGTTCACCTCAAACAACAACACAGCAAGCAGCTGGTTCACCTCAAACCAACAACGCAGCAAGCAGCTGGTTCACCTCAAACAACAACACAGCAAGCAGCTGGTTCACCTCAAACCAACAACGCAGCAAGCAGCTGGTTAACCTCAAACCAACACCACAGCAAGCAGCTGGTTAACCTCAAACCATCAACACAGCAAGCAGCTGGTTCACCTCAAACCAACAACACAGCAAGCAGCTGGTTCACCTCAAACCAACACCACAGCGAGCAGCTGGTTCACCTCAAACCAACACCACAGCAAGCAGCTGGTTCACCTCAAACAAACAACACAGCAAGCAGCTGGTTCACCTCAAACCAACAACACAGCAAGCAGCTGGTTCACCTCAAACCAACAACACAGCAAGCAGCTGGTTCACCTCAAACAAACAACACAGCAAGCAGCTGGTTCACCTCAAACAAACACCACAGCAAGCAGCTGGTTAACCTCAAACCAACAACACAGCAAACAGCTGGTTCACCTCAAACCAACAACACAGCAAGCAGCTGGTTCACCTCAAACCAACAACACAGCAAGCAGCTGGTTCACCTCAAACAAACAACACAGAAAGCAGCTTGTTCACCTCAAACAAACAACACAACTCCCTGTCTGGGTAACATATAATCAGCAATGGTGTCATTTGCTAGTGGTACATGTATGTATACACAAGACTATTTTCTTCCTTGATCCTTCTTGTCCAGAATATCGCAACCGTGGGTGGTTCGTTCGTTCGTTCGTTCGTTCGTTCGTTCGTTCGTTTGTTGTTTAACACCTCACTCAGCAGTATTTCAGCTATATGAATGCGGTGTGTAAATAATCGAGTCTGGACCAGACAATCCAGTGATTGACATCATGAGCATCAATCCCAAAATTGTGATACGATGACATGCATCAACCAAGTCAGCAAGCCTGACCACCCGATCACGTTAGTCACCTCTTACGACAAGCATAGTCGCCTTTTACGCCAAGTATGGTTTGCTGAAGATCAATTCTACCCCGGATCTTCACGGGTCTCGCAGCTGTGGTAGGTGGGCATATATCAAACAAAGGCACATCGTTGGGCCTCTTCTGAGTACCTTGGTATATTTGTGTAATTGTTTAGTTTAGAAAAGTGAAACCCACATTATCATTGTGAACAAATGTTACAATTATTCCGTTCTCACTTCTCTGACTTCCACTATTTACCCCTAACTCCAACACTGCAAGTGTCAATACAGCCACCAACTGAACAAGCCTGGGAAACGAGAGATACAAACTTTCTCCTTTATAAGCAGGTGGTCATATTCATTTCCAATTAAGTGTCACTTGTTATTCCACGGCTTGTTTCTACAAATCTCCAAAGTGGAATCTCACCACCCAACTGGTAGCCACTGCTCCACTGTTTCACCTTGACTGGCTGAAGGTCAAGAGAGGAGCAGAGCGAGTCGGCAGGTGCCCCTATAGCCCTGGGATGCTGCTTGAACTCTGAGTGGAACCCTGGCCACACAGGATCATCCATTATAAACTTCTACAGAAGAGATTAAAAATAGTATGTACAGCTCCAAAATTAGAAACAATTCGTCACATAAAAACTGAAGTATCCCCGGGCATATACCCTGGAGCAGGAAGAGGGCTGCTGCTGTAGCCTCGGCATCTTTTGAGCGTCATTAATCACATATTTGTGTAATTTGGCTTATATGACTTGAGTCAACTTGGTTCATCACAATGTCAGCATATATAAACTGTCAACTACTGAACCAGATCCAGGATCTGTGTGCGTGTGTGTGGGGGTTGTTCTTGATCTTATAGACCTGTGAGTCAACTGTCCACTCTTTTTACCCATTCAGTGGATCATAGACAGCAGACAGCATTAAAAAAAACAGGCTTTGCTCTGCCAGTGTGAAATGAATATATGGAATATAGAAAAAAATAACTTTCATAATTAATGATTTTTTGCAACGTGTTGATTCTTTTCAGGAACAATATTGATGCAGTGATTTCTCCTCAAGCATCACTGGTGAAACAACACTGTATAATCAATTATCAACTGCAGCTGACCCCATCGTGAATATTCCCATATTCAAATGTCCAGGTTACCTAACTTCAAACAAACTTTATCATTAGATACCACAAACGTGTAGCATATGAACCTTTCCCACCAGCAAATCCCCTTTCTGAAATAAACATCACTTGAAGTCGTTGAGATAAGACAAGGGTACATTGTAAGTGTTATCACAGCAATAGCGAGGTGTTTAGCCCCGTTAACACTGAGCCCCTGCCCCAACACAGTGTTGTTCAAACCCCTAACAAGGCTATAACAACGCTATTGTCCTGGTAATGGATATGTGTGTCTTGCACTCCCCCTCAGCATCACTGCAAGCCAATATTCAACTTAAACAATAACCACCACACTCTTGAACACAAGAGCATGCTTCAGAGTGTCTCATGACCATTGATTGGCTGATCTTCATGATTTACGGGAAATTGTGGCAAGTAACGTTCGTGTCCTTGAATAACATTGTAGCATTTATGACAACTATATTTACTTTGTATTTTTATTCCACCAAACTTTATGATTATCATACAACCTTAAATCTTTATATCACATTTCAATAACAATAGAAGGTTTATAACATTCATAATGTTTCAGATAATATAGATTATTAACAATGTGGCCAAAAGAAATAAAGACTGACACAAAATTTCAATAGATTTAGCAAACAAGTAGCTGTAGCTGAAACCTTTGCTCTGTATAAATACTGATGCTGCTGAACAATGAATAAGATATTTCAATGATGGATATGTTGATGTGTCATGATATATTGGATGAAATTGGAAATATAAAAACGAAAGGTATTGATTGACCATTGGAGCAGGCCATCCATATCTAAGAACTGGTAACTTCATTAGCCAATTCATTATATATTATTCTTCCTTAGCTATGTTTTCTACAGTGAATTAGACAGTGCTTCATCATCTACTGGCGTACCTGTTCAGCAGAGTCTTTGATGGATTTGTGGGTTTAATCCACAAACAACCATATTATAAATCAACATTTTCTTGTTTCTGTATATTCCCTATTGTGATAATTAGCAGTTAATTACCAAATCCAGATAAGCTAATTAACACCTCTCCTGGCAAGAAGAAGCTCTCTCTGGTGATCTGCTAATTAGCTGGGTTATGTGAAGAGCAGCTACTTTCACAACAGAGATATTAGCACCACAGCGTAATCCTGTATCAGAAATCAGCTGGTCAATAGACATGGAAGAGATTAAGGCCCATGCTTTGACTGTAATTACACACCTCCAGGTGAGTGCTTCCTCAAACATAATACACATCTTCCAGACAAGGAATATTCCATGAAGACTGCCAATTACATGCTTAACTTCGGCTCTCAATTGACTTTTATTCGGCTCATGAGCATCTTCTGCTCTAGCAAAACATTCGGTCTACACAACTTCCACTATATCTCCAAAAAATGTTTAGACAGCTTATATTTAATCACAAAACTCTAAATTGACATTTCTATGAAACATTCAATCTCCAGACAGAAGCAGTTTTTCCTGCTAAGACCCATTACCTAAGTTTTGCTTTCTTTGAGTTGCCTAGCAACACCGATTTTCATTCCAATGACTAACATTCTTTGCCTAGTGACTGTGTATTTCCTGGGTGATGGAGAGATGGGGAGATGGAGGTGGAGAGTTTGTCACACAGGCGGAGAACACTTGCGTTGCTGTGTGCCATCCAACACAGGGCCTGCTGCAGCAGTCGGCCATTACAGGCAGCACAGAGGAAGAGACAAAGTGATTGACTGTTTGAAGAGATTGATAACTCAGAGAGCAGTGTTATGAATGAGGTTCAGAAGAAAATAGAAAACAATAGTCTCCAATTTCCAGTATTGTTATTCATCATGTGGACAGTTTTAAGTTGAAATGTGTGAATAAAGCAATGGAATATATATGAGATAAGACATACACATAAAAAAAATACAATAGGATAAAATAACATGAAATAGACCATGTAAAAATTAAATACACTAGACCATGTATAAACAAAATTAAAACAATAAACAAATAAAATAAAATAAATAAAATGAAAAGTAAAAAATAAATAAAATGAAATAAAAAAATAAAAAAAAATAAAATAAAATAAAATAAAATAAAATAAAATAAAATAAAATAAAATAAAATAAAATAAAATAAAATAAAATAAAATAAAATAAAATAAAATGAGGAGCCAGCTGTTAACAGCCCCTGTTGACAGTGCAGTACTCCCTATGACCTGACCTCTGCAGGCAGCAGCACACATGCTCACTGTACAAACAAGGTGGTCACATGACCATACACCTCAATCAATAGAGACTGCTGGCTGGCAGTAGAGGGAGCTCTGTCAGAGTGTGTGTTGGATCTAGGCTGACAGTCAGGCCACCACAGTGGTACTGAAGGATATACTCAGTGAAGGCAAGCCTGGAATACACAGATGGACTACCCTGGCTGACCAGGATATACAGGTGTGTCATACAGGATTTATACCATGTCCAGGTACAATAGCAGCTAGTTAGACACCGGCCAGCTCCCACAACAGTTGGCTGTAGTCATGTGTACCTTTAACACCAGATCACTTGTTGTAGTGTCTTGTGGGTCAGGATAGGTTACAGGCAGGATTTCAGATAGTTACTGACATGAGATGTTTAGCTGAATTGTCACAACTCAGGATTTGATAAGCGTTGTCATTCATGTGGTCTTGGGTCGACAATCACCAGGGATATTATCTTCATGTCCTTGCAAGTCAGCCTGCTATAACATGTCAAACTTGTCACGGTTGGTCTAAATACTGTCAGATCTATCAAACGGTTTGGGAGACCTTGACAAATGGTTGGCAGTGCAATATGTCGGTCAGGAGTTGAAACTGGAGACTGTGCGTGGATGAGCTTGTTGCAGATAAGACTGACACATCCCAAGCAACTGCACAGCCACACACTGTGACAGAGTGTCATGTCAGGCTTATCACCCCACACCAGGCCCCACGCCCTATCCCAGGATCAAATGTAAACATCTCCCAACCATAACTTTACTTTTTCACCTTTGAATTTTTTCAATGTGGGCACCATGATAGGACCTGGAACCAAAATATACATTGCAGGTTGACAGAGGGAGGATCAGTGTTCAAAATAACTGCCCGCCTGCCTGCCCGTGGCTGGTAACTTTTCTGGCGTTAAATTTTCCTCCACCTGCTGCCTGTAATTTTAAGACTGCTTACATATTCAATTTTATTATAACTCCTTGTAGATTCTCAAATAATTTTTTGCATTATTTCACCTGAATTGAATCAAGACGCAAGTCTCTAATTTTTTGCGATTTTTCAATATTTATGTTGGAATGTGGGCAGGTAACTTTGAAGACTGGCAGGCAACACTTATGGGTCACCTGCCGGACTGTCTTGTTGGGTTTTAAATGATTTCACGCAGTGGGGAGGATCAGAGACAGGTCTCATCAATGTCAGTGAGTAATGTGTTCAACTTGCAAATGATCCTGTCAGTAAAACTGGCTGATCCAGACACCTTATGAACCTAGCATTGTTCACCTTAAGACCTGGGTATAGAGAGCTCCCCACTATTTTGAGCCACCCTACATGAGGACCTATCAGGTGTTTCTTCACTACAGGAGGTGGCACAGTGCACAGCCCATTTCAACAATCCTGACTCCGACACATCAAGCATGACTGGTTCAGCATACAGCAGTAGGACACATCAATTCTAACACCATTTTGTCGCTCGCCTTTCAGGACAATGTGTTGCATAAACACTGATATCACATAGCCGCCTACAAATCGAGTCTGTCACCGAGATTTAGGTTCCACTGAGTGGTCATCATCTGGTGCTTGAGTGAGTTAGTGACTGGAGTGTCACTTGATACATAAATCATTGCTTACATTGTCACTCTTTAAAATGTATGAGTTGGCACTTATTTTTAGACCCAGCTCATACAAAGATCCGCCTTTGGAATTCGAAAGTAGGACTGAACATAGTTTTGCGTTTGTTCAACTGCTAAGTGGAACTTCATAATCTACGGTCTTTGATTACGGGTTTTGTCGGAACACGTTCCAGTATTTCAGGTAGGAACTCATAATGATATGAACATTGTTGAAGGTGTCAGTATTAGTTGAAATATCCCCTACAGAGTGCCCTTTCCTGTGCTGCAATACTGGATTACTTCACTGGCAAATCTAGTCACGACATAAATGTCATGAGACGTTCATGTTAAAAGCTCCTACAGTTATATGTCTCAGGATAGCCTTGTGGTTGAAGTGTTTGCTTGTCACAAGGCCCAGGTTCAATTCTCCATATGGGTACAATGTGTGAAGCCCATTTCTGGTGTCCCCTTCCACGATATTTGTGGAATATTGCTAACAGTGGTGTAAAACCATATCACACATTCACTGTTGTTCAGGAACTGAGGACCCGTGAAGATTGTATTTATCAGAATGGAGATATAATCCACTGTATGATAACAGAATGAAGAACTTATCACTTCAAGTTTCTTTTGAGAGGCGATTAACGGGATCAGGTGGTCAGGCTCGCTGACTTGGTTGAAGCATGTCACTGATCCCAATTGCATGGATCGATGCTCATAATGTCAATCACTGGATTGTCTGGTCCAGACTCTATTATTTACAGACTGCCGTCATATAGCTGGAATATTGCTGAGTGCGGCGTTAAACAACAAACCAACCAAATCAGGAAGTGAGGATTAAGCAAGCAGGGGATAAAAACACCTCGAGGACCATGATTCCTTGACTTCCATGGAGGACACCGCTGTAGCTAGAACATGATGGGTCAGATGGTGGGAAAGGGAACCAGTTTGTTACAACTGACCAAGTACCATGGTACAAGAGCCCAGGTTGTTACAACTGACCAAGTACCATGGTACAAGAGACCAGTTTGTTAGAACTGACCAAGTACCATGGTACAAGAGACCAGTTTGTTACAACTGACCAAGTACCATGGTACAAGAGACCAGGTTGTTACAACTGACCAAGTACCATGGTACAAGAGACCAGTTTGTTAGAACTGACCAAGTACCCTGGTACAAGAGACCAGGTTGTTTCAACTGACCAAGTACCATGGTACAAGAGACCAGGTTGTTACAACTGACCAAGTACCATGGTACAAAAGACCAGGTTGTTACAACTGACCACAGCATGTAACACTCACATACAAGCATCAGTATTGGGATGTGTTAACTACTAAATCAGCAACAACCTCAGTAGAACCATCCACTGAATGAAGTAATAGGTGGTTAGGTCAACTGAGGATCTCATTCATGCCCTTTGTGTGTGCATAATCAATACTACCTCGCGCACACCTCACAGCCTATCTAAAGGCGGGTTACTTACACCTGATGGTTTTAGGCCAGGTATGTGAATTACAAGCCACAACTATTCTCTACCAATCAATTTTATTCTTGCTTGATCAGAATTTCAAATATGGTATCTTTGCTACTATGTAATTCAAACTGAGATGGATACAGCGTACCAACATCCAACCACTTCCTGTTAGACTGGTTCTTGTGTAGTATCACAGCTTGTTTCTAAGTAGATAAAGTGTTGGAGAGATCGATCCAGGTCTGATTGTCTGCCATCAAGTACACATAGATCTTCATTCGCCCCTCATGCTCCTCTCTCCCCTCACACGCTCCTCTCTCCCCTCACACGCTCCTCTCTCCCCTCCCACGCTCCTCTCTCCCCATGTGGAGCTGATCACTGTGTCACATGGCAGCTCTGATAGATATGACATATGCTGTTTCTCGACCCTAATCTCCTTCCTGTGTCCCGAAGAAATACAAACTTATCTATGTCTAGGTGAATCAATAAACAGGTTAAAGACGTGTCAGGGTTGTCATAAATATTGTCAAACTTCCTTGGTGAAGTATTGAATTTGCATGTTCTGTTCTGGTGATGTTCAATATGTTTTGTATGTATAAGCTTTACCTTCGTGTTTCTTAGCCCTGCTGATAACAATATGTTTAATCTACCTGAATGTAATTCTGGAATGCTTGAAAATTGGATCTACTGATGATATGGAAACAGTGAAGATTGGCTGTTTTATCAGTGACAGAAATAGGCACTAGTCCTACAGTCCTTGCCAAACTGCTCAATAGTTAAGGTATCATAAGGACTAGTAGAAATTTGCCGCTTTTGTTTTTGCTGTATGTTATCACTATAAGGACTAGTGGACTAAAAATGGTAGTTTCTAATGATGTTTATGTGAGGACAGGGCAGGATTGAATCACTTAGATCTGTTAGTTTGTTTATTTGTTGTTTAACGCCACACTCAGCAATATTCCAGCTATATGACGGCAGTCAGCAAACAATCGAGTCTGGACCAGACAATCCAGTAATTGATATCATGAGCATCGATCCACACAATTAGGATACGATGACATGCATCAACCAAGCTGATAATGTCCCAGAAGCAAGTCTGTAAGTGTGTTTAGCAATGGGCTGTATTATATACATCATGCTGAAACAATCATACTATCAGAGCAAACATGCTATCTGAGTAATAGGTTGACAAAACCCGACTCCGGCCTGCGGTACACAGGACACTTAATGTTTGGCCCCGCACCAGCATGGAGGTACAGACAGTGGCTATGCCATAGCTGACACTCCAGGAAGTCAACTTATTTAGAGAAAATCTCCCATCTTTTTTTGTTAAGATCCTGAGATCACTTATAAAACAATTCCAGCCTAAAATGTTGGCCCAGAAATAAATCCAAGTACAAAAGGCATAAAAGTAAAGAGGTAATTTTGATTTTTAAGATAAGCTTTCTTCTTAATGTTCAAATGTTGGCCAATGGAAATATATCTATAAATAAATGTCATTTAAGTAAAGAGGTATTTTAGCGTTGTAGAATGAGCTTTTTTCCTCAGCTTCTAAGAGAACAGAAGCAATAAATATGCATCCAGCAAACAGGGGGGCTGTACATCATACATGGCAAATGAGAGTCTCTTGACAGTTTGTTGTTCAATTTGTGGATGTAGATAAAGCGGCTTATTTTGTAGTAGACTGAGCAGGGGATAGGATGGCAATGTTCCTGTAACTCTGGATTCCTTTGATAGGGAAACATGAAACAAATGGCGAATTAATCTTCACTGAGATTCCGGTTTCTTCTTCATCAGAAATTGTCCCCACATCTACTCCCGCCCACGAAAGAGTCTAGCATCATCTAGAGACATCTAGAGTCTATGATATCAGTCTAAAGCTAGGGTTACTGTTAATTCAAATTGAAACATCTTGAGTCTATTTGATATAGTCTACAGCTGGTGTTACTGTTAATTCAGCTAACTAGGCCTTGTAGTTTGGATCAAGTGTTGAGGGTTGGATAATGAGATCAAGATGGAGACTATGGGGATCTATTCTTTCACTCCCCCAGGGTGTGTAAAGAGAGTTTGAGCACCATGGTGAAACCTTCATTATGTTTCATCTCTGGAACCTTACTTTGTGGTAAATTATTCTTTCTCTCAATTGCATTCCAAAGTATAGTATCCAGATCTCCAACCTACACAGAGGACGTGGGGTAGCCTAGTGGTGTGTGTTGGCTCCTCAAACCAAAGACTATGGTTCAACTCCCCACATGGCTCAACCGGACCCATGAAGATCCAGAGTAGAATAGGTCTTCAGCAACCCATGCTTGCCATAAGAGGTTGGTTGGTTGGTTGTTTAACGCTGCACTCAGCAATATTCCAACTATATGACGGGGGTCTGTAAATAATCGAGTCTGGACCAGACAATCTAGTGATTAATATCATGAGCATCGATCCACGCAATTGGGATCGATGACATGCATCAACCAAGTCAGCGAGCCTGACCACCCAATCCCATTAGTCGCCTCTTAAGACAAGCATTGTCGCCTTTTACAGCAAGCATGGGTTGCTGAAGACCTATTCTACCCATATTGACGGGTCTGCCATAAAAGGCGCCTATGCCTATCGGGATCAGGTAGTCAGGCTTCTCCATGTCTTAACAGTAGTCATTGTACACATTAAAATGTCCATAACGATGAATTTAGTTGGCTACATATTCCTTTCTGTTCTCCATCTCAGGGAGGGAAATGGGTAGGGAGTATGGGGTAATTGAAGTAGATTGTAACATAGAGAATGAATTTTGTTATGAACCTCACCAAAGCAGCGTTAGAAATTGGCCTGTAGTCCTTGCCAAACTGTCCAATAGGAATTTTAAGGACTGGTAGAAATTTGCTTTTTTTAAAGGTTTTGCTATATCATCATAGTGGACTAAACCTGTGGGTTTCTATCGCTGCAAAGATGTCAGTGCTCCACCTGGGAGAAGGGGGTAGGGGGTGGTAGTAGGGGGCAGGGGAAGGTCTGGGGGGTGTCAGGGAGCCTGAAGGGAGTCCCCTCACATCAAAGGCTAGAGGGCAGGACCAGGATGAGATGGCCATCATGTTAGGTAACACTGTGATAAACATCATGCTGACCGCCACTACATAATGTAAGGGCTTCAACTATTAAACTTCATGCATGGGGTCCTTTCCATACAAACCCTTGAATCTTTAATTGGAAGAAATACCTTTGTATTGATACTTTCTTTGAAGGGAAGGCTGTAAGATTAGATCAAATCTCCCTATTAGCATGGATTTTCATTTCAAAGGTGGACTGTATATTTTGATAGATTTTATTACAGTCTTGGTATCAACTGTCTGCATGGGCAAGCTGTGATGATTCTGGAGGAGAAGCGAGACAGCGAATGGCAAATCAATGAGCAAACTTTCTCCATTTTCTTTATCTAATGATCTCCGCCATTTCTTTTACAGTCTGCTTCTTCAGCCACTTGTCCGAAACGAGAATAGTTTCTTTCTGTCTAGTGAGCTCAATGAATGATCACCCATTCATCAATATTGATGCTAAAATCTATTCAATATGATGCAAAGATAAGATTGGCCTTGTAGATAAGTTTCAGCCCCGACTCTTTTCAAAAAAAGAAATACTAATTACAGCTACTTAAAAAATACATTAAATGCAAAAAAGGAAAACGACTATGACTTTTATGAGAGATGTCTCCGATAGCTTACTCACACAGTGGTAAGTTAATGTAA